TAAATGAACTCAAAAAAATTATAAATTTTTTTACAAGTTTTATCACAATTCTGATGCTCAGATTTTGGACATTGTTATCGTTCAATTTTTTTGAGTACCCCAAAAACGATACTTTTCTGACACATATACCTACTCCATAACCTTTTTTTTCCTTGAGCATCCAATTGAAGATAAATACCTCAGTAGTTAATATAAATTGGTTAATTGATTTTCCTTTAACCATATTTCTGTTAAACATAGAGCTATTGGCTTGGGATTTAATTGAGCAACCAAAATTTCATTTTCGTGAAGGTTTTTTGAAAGCGATCTTATGTTCTGTCGTAAAAATTGGTTGCTTGAATACACACTTCAATGCCCCCATTAGCCTTAGTTGATCTTTTTGATTATTTAACTCGAGCAGTAGCCTGTGATCGCTTCTACTTCTGCTTGACTAGTTTTGAACTAAAACTTGAAATTTTTGCGCTCCCTATGATTTTTACTTTTCGTACTTTTTTGTGCAACATATTTTTGCCAGCTTCTCCGTTAATTGTTAGTTAATTTTCATGAGTAATAATAACTTACTAAAAAGAGCGAGAGAGAGAGGTAACATTTGATCAAAACATACTCGCGTAATCACAGACCTATTTTAAAAAATTACTAATTGGTATTGCACCAAAACATCGTTTTGAAGGATCGCTTAATCACAAACCAGTCAATGCTGCCTGCGAGAGAAAACCTTCCGATACGTTCACCAAACTTTCATTTGAAAAAAGTTTTGCTTACAATCAATTTAGCAAAAAAGTTGAAAAAGTACAGAGGAGCTTCATAAAGTCAACCTAAAAGAAAAAAATAATTCAAACTGACAAAAAGAGAAAAAAGCAAAATAGAAAAATCTTTTTTTTTGCCCTGCTTCACAATTTTAATCAAAGATGTTTAAAATGCTCAGCTCATAAAACAAACACTTAACGAGAGCTTTGCACAGCTCGTCATTACTAACTCAAAAATTAAAGTTTCAGTTCCTCATTGTAGTCATGGAGCAGACACTTTCATTGCTTAATTTTGGCAAAGTTATGTAATTTCACTGGCGGAGACATTTTTCGGACAGTTGCGTTTTTTCGCGAAGCTTGAACATGCTTCCTTTTTATTGCATTCCTCTCAAGTTTTTTCAATTCAACGAAACTGTATCCTTTGACATTATTTTTGCCATTTTCTTCCTTCCTTACCGCAACGGAAACCACACAGCTGTTTGTGGTGGTCTCGATATCCATCTGCTTTGAAGCTGCTTTTATTTTTGCTTCTGCTTTGGGCAGCGGATCGTTTAATTAAGTCCTTTTTCTATTTACTGTGTAAAACTTTTGCGTAAAATTCGTCTGCTGTTCCACATTACCGACGTATCATCAAAATAAACAAACTTGCAGAAGAAACTCGGCAAAAAGTCCTTTTACAACACAGGCAGAATATGACACTTCTTTTTTCCTTCTATTTTTTTATTTCAATTCCCAAAAATTTTCGGAGAATCTCAAAGCCTTGATGGTTGCGTCATTTACTCTTCTGGCATCAAAAAATGGGCTAGCAAAAACGACACTGTTCGTGCGTGAGTTTTGTTCTGCGCTCCTGGCCTCTCTTCCATATCATTTTGATTTCTTTGTTGTTCGTCCATGTTTGTTGATCATACGTGATTTTTCTCAAGTTTCTAACCTCTTTTTCTAGTCGGCTCACCTTTTCGTCTGTTATTTTCCTAACCATGGAACCTGACGATTGAACAGTCTCCAAACCATTACGAATATCATCCTCAGAATCCATTTCAAAAAGAATAAAATGATAATTCCTAATCATATACTCATTAGTTAGTAAGATCAAACACTTTCACGCTAATTAACAATTTTGAAGCTAAAATCAGTGAAGGTCAACCGAATGTTTATCAGACTTTCAAAGAAAACACATGCCTACTTAAGGACCCATCTGTAATTATACCTTGACAAATATTAGTGCAACTACGATAATACTTCACAATCTGCATAATATTAGCATAAACTGCTCAGGAAAAAGTATCCTAATAGCAGGCTGAAGAGATCAAGAAAAGCTTTGTAGAAATACTCAAACTAACCAATAAAACATGAAACGATCGCAAAATAAAGTTGTCTCTTGCTTTTTCAGACTAAGAATCCGTTAGTGAGCCAAAAAAGATCCCAAAATTTTATTTTTGTTCCTTCTCAGCTCTGTTTTTGTTCCTTTGGAGCATTTTACAAAATTATTTAGATAGCGGTACGCAGACAACTTAGAAAGTACAGATCCCAATAAGCAGATATTTTTTATCAACTTTCATTAAACCGATGCTTTTTTCAGTAAAAAAAACTCTTCGGACAGCTTTAAGCAAAAATAAATTTTATGAAAAAAATTTCACAAAATATTCAAATTAAATAATTTCGATTTAAAATAAACGAAAAATTCATCAATTTTGAATGAAATTTTCAAAGCAAGTTTGTTCTTTTTCATTCAACCAATTTTGAGTTTTGTTTTCAGAACTGACAAGTATCGAAAACTTGCTGTCTGCTAGCTGGCCGCACACCCTAAAAACTTATAACCATCGAATTAAAAAAAAATACTTCAATTTTTGTGTCATTTAGATACCAATTTTGTTTCTGATTCACAATGAAATTGAAACGTTACAGCAAATCAAGCTGAAGCACAACAGCTTTACTTTATTGTTTTAAAAGACTTAATTACTGTTTGAACTAGTTAGGAAAATCGTTTTTGGTAGATGGGGGAGCTATTTTTAATAAACCAATAAGCAGCTAAGCTTTGACTGGGCTAGACTTTTGCTGTTCCACAAAGACTTCTCGTATCAGATCAGCGCCCTAAGTGTGCGGACTGCTCTTTAGCGTCTATGCATTGATGTTTTTTAAAGATCTCCCTACAGGCTATGTGAAGTACTAATAAACCGCGTATTGCAACCCGCATTGGAACTTCATGGGAATTAATCGATCACTATGGTTTAACTTGGCAAAAACATCTAACTAATTTAATTGATATTCATGACCCATTCAATCATGGAAATGGATTTTTACAGGATTATAATAGTTTTTTTATGCAATATTTTAGAATCCATTATAATTGATTATTTTGACAATATAATCTTTTTTTAGGCCACAAAAATCCATGAAAATCGGTTTTTGTTCTACAGCATATTTTTTGCAGCTAATTAAAATCTTGAAATAATTGGAAACGTTCTGCAAATTTAGAACCCGAAACAACAGGTTCATCCCTAACCTAAAAAACTCTAAAAAAAAGTTTGTCTCCTCTCCTACTCCACCCCCTTCCCCACTCCAAGTTTACAGCCCCACCCCTAATTAATCCCTCCACTTTTTACACCCACTGCTTTCCCTACCCCCACCACCTACCCTACCAGAACCACCTCATGCACACCTCCCCCCATTTATTTGTGATGGTTCAGAGACAGCTCAATCGTCAGATTCCGTGAGTACGAAAATAGCAGACCACCATGTGAGCCGACTAAAAAAAGAGGTTAGGGACTTGAGAAAAATACAGGTGATCAACAAATGATGGGTGATCAATAAAATTCGCTTATAATTGATTTTGTTTGTATAAAAATATTAGGGTTATAATCCATTTTAAATGGTTTCTAATCGATTACTGTTGTAGTTTTATGGATACTGACTATAAAAATATAAAAATATTTGATACTATAAAAGTATCAAATGAAACAAGTATTATACCCCAACTCAAATTAGAATGATTTTCTAAGACGATTTAAGACGCTGCTAACGCGTTGACAGCACGAAATTTATCGAGCGTTAACAATCACAAAGTTGCCAAATTTTCAACTTTTGAACCCCTTTAATTTTATGAAAAGTGATCACAAGTGTAATATTATTTTAAAAACTTTGAGACAACAAAGTGTTTCGATTGGTAAAGAAAAAGTTGGTCAAAAATGCTGGTAACTTTTGTCTGGAGAAAAAAATCACCCCAAGCACCAAAATATTCTGTCACTTTCTTCAAAAGTTGGAACAAAAATTCGTACACACTCATTTAAGCAAAAAATTAATTTTTCAATTTTCTTCATTTTATAACAAATTTTAGCAGAAAACTAGCAATTTAGATTACTCTCAATAAAAACTTGTAGTTTAACTTAAATCCACTCTTTTCATTTGTATTTTTTGAAATAGGTTCAACAAAGTGATGATAGTCAAATTTAAAATAAATCATATAATGATACCCAAAACCCATTTATTTCATTTTTGTATTTTAAATGTATATATGCATTCAACTCAGCAAAAAAGACGTTTTGCGCCATACTATACTTATTTTTGCGAATTAATTATGTCGCATAACTGACCATACTGCTGAATTGAATGAATATTTACAGCCCAAAAAGTTCACTAATCCTTAAGGGAGAAACTAAGAAAGATTTATAAGGTATTCATATCTATTACATTTTAAAGAAAAATTCATTACGACCAGATCAAACCATATGACGGCTCCTATAAATGTCAATTAAATAAAAAATGAAGTATTTTGGCCATTTTTTAAGGGAAAAAAAGAGATGAAAGCACTCCTTCGTGCCTACACTGTTCTAGTTCTAAATTGATATAATTGATTATAATTGATTTGCAATGCGTTTTTTGTTTTATTAAATAACAGCAAAATAATCTTTTTAGTTAATTATAATCGATTTGTTTTTTTGGAAACTGACAATAAATCTCAATTTTAATTGATTTTATTCGTGGATCTCCATTGCCGATGTCGATCTATAAATCAAATGAACTGATAAACCAAAAATTTAGTATTTATGTACAACTTATCAATCAACCATTGTTTTTGGTCCTGGGGAGTTTGAATTTAGATTTCAAAAGTCCGAAAAAAAGTAGCTATCGTATGTGTGCTGGTCCGTTTTCAATGAGGAAATGTGTGCAACCAATCACGTTCTCCGGCTGAAGCATGGCACGAGTGATCACTTGCAGGTTTTTTTTGTTCAGTTTGTTTTTGTATTTTGCCGGCAGGTGTATTTCTACGAGGCACTCAACATGCGAGATTTCATGGCAGAAAACATGAACTTAACAAACTTCTCAACAGAAAACGCAAGTTCGAAAACAACAGAGGTTCAAAATATATCTCCTACCGGAAACAAGTGCACTGCTCAAGTACTTGCTAATCAAACTGCATCAGCGTCCAGATCCAATCTGACAGTTTCGGCTAACTGGGCAGTCCGCGATGATGATACCAGAAGTGGAGAGGTAAGAGGAAGTAGGCATGCTTAAACAACTTTAATCTAACGGATTTGGATTTCTTCATTTCCGATTATTTATCTTCCTACTTTCTCAAAAACGTTTCTTTTTTTTAGTCCACAATTCGTATTAATTTTTTACTGATGTCTCTGTTTCAAGAATGCAGAATTTTTTTAAGACAAAATACTTTGTCTTTTCATATTAAAAAAGCATGAATCTGGAAAGATAATGTGGTTCCTGCGAATTGCAGAGGAGGTATCAGTAGGCCTTGACAGTCCTGTCGATGATAGTCTATTTCTATTATATCCCCATATTCCAGACTGTGCTATTTTGTTGAGCGAATCATATCCCCACATTCCAGACTTTGTTATTTTGGAACTAGAATTTTCATGTGGCACCACTATTGCAGCAGAAATCGGTCAGGCTGTTGTAGACCTGAAGCTGGAGGTCAAATCTCGACGTCTAAAAATTACGAGTGTGCTTGTTTAACTTGTTCGCTGTGTAGTGTGTTTAATCGCCAGAATTAACATAATTCAAGAAAAATATTGATGTGTGATGTCCTGAGGTCAAAAATGTAAAGAAATCTTGTTTAAGAATAGTTTTTGCAAAGTTAGGTTTTGAAAAAAGTCAGTCAGTTTTACCAACTTGAGTTAGGATAATTAAGTTGTTTTTTCTGTTATAAGCTTAATTTTCTGCCTCTTAAACTGAAAATTTGTTCTCGACCTAATTTTAATTTTTTGTCTCTAAAATTAAATTATTCGTTGCTGCACTAGATATCTCAATAATAATTGGATCTTTTTAACTATTTCCCTTCAATTTGCAAAAGGGGGAGATTAGTTACTAGGTACCCAAGGGGATATTGTTAAAGAGATCTTATTATTTGACCATGACCTCTTGAGTGGCCAGCATTAATTCGCGAATCATTTTTTAACCTCTATGTTTACGTACTAATTTGGAATTAGAAACATACCTGCCAAAAGATCATCGGGTTTTAGTACAACTGATCTATTGTCAGTGTACGCTTTATAAAACCAACTCTTAATTCAACTTCTTAACAAATTTTAAGTTTTATCTAGCTAAGCAAGCTTAAACAATGTCGTTTTTTCTAGTCTTAGTTTAGATGTCTGCTAGTTAGTTTAGTAGAGAACCCACATCTTAACAAGTCTTACACTAGTTTTAATTTAACTACATCTTTAATCTCGGGTTTTTTACAATCCCATTATTTGGGTTAATCTAATTTTTTAACAAGGCGCAGTGAACGAGCCGAACCTTTGAGGCCTAGAGTTCTTTGGGAACAACGCATCAAGTGAGAACCATCAACATTGGGAAAATTAGGCGCAAAAGTTTCTGTTGACAATTATCGCTAAAAACTCTGTGGATATCGAAGATGTGATTAAACCACTATCGAGAACGAAATAACTTACCCCTTCTCAGAAACATCGGAGACTTCCGACAATTAAACCCGTCGGGCTGAAAAAGAAGAAAGAAACAAACAAGTGTTACACCTCTACAACGAAGAAGTGCGAAGGAGGAAAGCGAAGGACAATGCAAAATTTAACGGCTACAAATCGGTAACATCGATAAAAAGTTAAAATTACAGCTATACCGAGGACTTGGTAAAGAGGGACAAAAGTGCTTCGCACACAAAAACCCTGGAAAAAGAATACTCGACCTAAATTTTGCAGAATTTTGGGAACTATTAAAACCACGTTCACGATAACCATGAACCTGACTTATGAAAGATACAAACTCTTCGGTCGAAGAAAGAATGATCACGGGTCAGAAAAAAATCCTTGAGGTCTGGGCAATCTAGAGACCGGAAAAGTCAGATTTTAGATCATTACCAACATGAGGAAAGTGGAAATCCAGAAAACGTTGGGTATTGAATATCTGACCCCATAATGATTTTAGCTTATTTATTAGTTCACGAGAAAGGCACGGAAATACATCAACCGTACACAAGAATCCCTCTAAAGATGTCTGTACAAAAACCACAGTATGTATAAAATGAGCCAAAACTGAATAATGTAGAAAGTAATAAACGTAGAACTTGTCGTCAAGAAGGGACATCTTACATCTTGTCCAGCAATAGAGAGAAATTGTAGCACCTGCGGTCATAAAGGTCACTTCGCTAAGAATTGCAGAAGATCAGCCAGAGCGCAAATCAATTTAGTTTAACAAAACTCGAAACTGCCCGAACAAGAAATCCACCGAAAACACGCGCAGGACAACTCCGAGTTTGAAGTAGATTTTGAATTTTTTTTACTAAGGATAGATAACGATAAGCGAATAACGCTATTGAGGACAGAACTGAAGGAGGAATGAGGAACCAAAACAGTATTTTTATATGAAAGATTCCAACTGAAGAAGACATTAACGGTATCAATGGGTAACTGCAATCCCTACCTAATTGAAACTCAAATTGACTCAGCTAGCCCAGCATCGCTTATGAAAAAAGATTTATTTCAAGAACGCAAGATAAGGGACAGATTTTTACGAATCGAAGCAGTTGATGAACTCAGGAAAAAAAGCTACCAAGGTTTTGGAAACGCAAAAAATATCATCATTGTGAGGATACAACCGAAGGGATGGGATGCCAAAAATCAACAACAGTTTATCGCCAAAGGGGCAGAAAGAAACTTACTAGGCAACGACATACTTTTGAATCTGGGTATAGAGTTCTCACAGAAGCAGGCACCACCAATAGTATCAGACACACGGTCTATCAGACACACGGTCAAACTCACGGTCGGGATAGAAGTAAGCCAGATGAAATTTGAGTCTGACAGTCAGCCCAGTCAATTTCCTGACACACCACTTCAACGGGAATTCAAACTGTATATATCTAACCGATTTCCCGAAATTTTGAAAAAACAGGCAGAAAAAAAGTTTCATAGTAAAAACATACTTCAACCAACCATTTAAACCAATACAAGTAAAAGGCAAAAGTATACCAATAAACCAACTCCCTGAAGTTAAACTATGTATCGACCAGTTAGTCAGCGAGGGGTATATAAAAAAACTGTGAGGATGTTCAAAGAACTGCTTCATATCAACTATCGCCATAACAGCAAAAAGGGACGGGACAATTAAATTTGCATTGAACTGAAAACTACTAAATAAACCAACATTTTGCAACATATATCATAAGCCTAATTCGTTTGAAGTAACCGACAACGTTGTCTCAACAATTACTGGCCACAACGAAAACTTAACCTTGTTTTCATCTATCGACTTTAAGTACGCATGTAGTCAGATGCCTCTGTCAAAAAAAAGCGTGCAACCAAGGCAGTTTTAACATCGCGGGAGGAGACGTTATGGGTTCATATCGTTTCAAAACGGGATTCTACGGATTATGTGATATGCTGAAATTTTTTCAAAGTATTATGAACCGTTTGACTGAAAAATTACTAAACTCACACTGTTACTTAGACGAAATGTTAATCGCTACAGTAGGTAGCGCTAAAGAACATTGTAAATTTTTCACTGAAGTTCAAAGAACATTGAACGACGAAGTAAAACAGAAATATTAGCCATGAAATGCTAGAAAAGTAAATTTTTGACTCATCAAATAGAGTGGTTCAGTTCTAAAATTGATGCAAAAGGAACCACTCCTTTAGTACCCAAATCAATGTAATCCGGAATTTAAAAGAATCAAAATGTATCAAGAATTTGAGATCCTTTATGGGCTCAATCAACCAATTTAACAAATTCATCCCATAGGTAGCATCTTTACCTACACTGTTTAAAGCTGTAACTGCAGCGCTAAAAGTTGAAAAATATACAAAGACAGCTCAATCTTGCCTCACCCGCTGGCAGATAAACTTTTACCATATGACTTCACGGTCAAACATCTCCCGGATAAAGTCATGAGATTTGTGCAATATCTATCTAGACACCCATCAATGGACTTCGTTTTAGTTTCCTATGAAAGAAAATGTGGTTCCTGCGAATTGCAGAGGAGGCATCAGTAGGCCTTGACAGTCCTGTCGATGATAGTCTATTTCTATTATATCCCCAAATTCCAGACTGTGCTATTTTGTTGAGCGAATCATATCCCCACATTCCAGACTTTGTTATTTTGGAACTAAAATTTTCATTAGGCACCAGTATTGCAGCCAAAATTGGTCAGGCTGTTGTAGACCTGAAGCTGGAGGTCAAATCTCGACCTCTGAAAATTTTAAGTGTGCTTGTATAACTTGTTCGCTGTGTAGTGTGTTTAATCGCCAGAATTAACATAATTCAAGAAAAATATTGATGTGTGATGTCCTGAGGTCAAAAATGTAAAGAAATCTTGTTTAAAAATAGTTTTTGCAAGGTTAGGTTTTGAAAAAAGTCAGTCAGTTTTACCAACTTGAGTTAGGATAATTAAGGTGTTTTTTCTGTTATAAGCTTACTTTTCTGCCTCTTAAACTGAAAATTTGTTCTCGACCTAATTTTAATTTTTTGTCTCTAAAATTAAATTATTCGTTGCTGCACTAGATATCTCAATAATAATTGGATCTTTTTAACTGTTTCCCCTCAATTTGCAAAAGGGGGGGATTAGTTACTAGGTACCCGAGGGGGGATTGTTAAAGAGATCTTATTATTTGACCATGACCTCTTGAGCGGCCAGCGTTAATTCGCGAATCATTTTTTAACCCCTATGTTTACGTACTAATATGGAATTAGAAACAATCCTGCCAAAAGAACATCGGCTTTTGGCACAACTGATCTATTGTCAGTGTACGCTTTAAAAAACCAACTCTTAATTCAACTTCTAAACAAATTTTAAGTTTTATCTAGCTAAGCTAGCTTAAACAATGTCGTTTTTTTTAGTCTTAGTTTAGATGTCTGCTAGTTAGTTTAGTAGAGAACCCACATCTTAACAAGTCTTACACTAGTTTTAGTTTAACTACACCTTTATTCTCGGATTTTTTACAATCCCATTATTTGGATTAACCTAATTTTCTAACAAGGCGCAGTGAAACGAGCTGAACCTTTGAGGCCTAGAGTTCTTTTGGAACAAC